GCTGCTTGGAGTTAAAGACTCCTGATTTTGGCCAGATTTAAGACCTAGGCCAGCCAGGACCCTCTTAGGGGGGATTTGGAGAGCTCATCACAGCGAGGGGGACGCTGCCTCGGTCAACAGGCAAGACCAGAAAGAGGAGGGAGCCTCAAATTCTGCCCTGAGCAACGCACAGAATCAGTACTTGGCACAAGCTCTGGAATCCCTTTTCCTCATGATTGCTCTAATCCTGGGCTGGGCTCTGCCAGCCCCCAGGCACGCATGCTGCCCTTCCCTCTAGCTCCAACCCTGCTGTTCATCCCGGCCTGGCTTCAACAGCAGAAGTGGAAGCACCATGCCACAACCTGTCTTGTAGACCCCTCCTGTAACAGCACCACCAGCAAGGAATCATAGAATTGTCTAGGTTGGAAAGGACCTTTAAAATCATCTAGTCCAACCATCAACCTAACTCTGATAAAAAATCATCACTAAACCACGTCACTAAGCTCTATGTCAACCCATCTTTTGAACACCTCCAGGGATGGTGCCTTGACCACCTCCCTGGGCAGCCCATTCCAATGCTTTCAGTGTAAAAACTTTTCCTAATATCCAACCTGAACCTCCCCTGGCGCAACTTGAAGCCATAAATAATAATAATAAACAACACTTCACCCCAACCCCAGCTGAGGGCAGTAGGGAAAGGTGGATCTCCTGCACGCCAGGTGAGTAACACAGCCTCAGGTACTGGCATGGAGGGTGCTGGACACACCACCTCTCCCACCAGCAGCAGCCTGGAGCAAAGGTGGAAACCTGCAAACCTGCTCTGAGTGGACCTGCTTTGGCTTGGGGGGGGTTGGACGAGACGATCTCCAGAGGTCCCCTCCAACCCTGTATTGTTCTGTGATTCTGGGGCTGCCGCCCCCAGCTTTCACCAGGAACTTCTCCTCTTGGTGAGCACTTTTAGGAGGCAAGCTTCTCGCCGGGGCTTGGGGCTGAACCTGAGCTGTGGAGGGTGCGTCAGAGGGCAGCAGGGAGGGAGCGTGGTGCGTGCCAAGGTGCTGTCCTCACACCGACCCCGGGCAGAGTGTGCATCCAAGGACATGCAGGACCCTGGGCGCTTTCCAAGCCTCATATTTTGGGAACGAAGAACAGGGGAGGAACCGCTGCTACCTAATGGTACTGAGGCAAGCAGGGACCTGATGCCTCAGCATCACCCGCCCGAGGGCGAGCTGGGCTTTTCCCCACACGCTGCCTGTACTGGGGGGGGGAAAAAATCCCCAACCCACCACCGTGGGTCAAACACACCCCACACAGAGAAGGGGAGAAGGGACGGGTCCCGCTCACCCACAGCGGGGTGAAGATGCTGACCCACCGGGGGTGCAGGGAGAGCTTTCCCCAGGAGGATTGGGGTCGGTTCTGAGCAGCCAGCCTGCTTTTGGGGACCGAGGGAGCCCCTGTCACCCGGCTCCCGTCACCCGGTCCCGTCTGCGGGCGGCGCTTTGTCGCCGGATGTCACCTGCTCACGCTTTTTAGGTGTAAAATGAAGGGTTGCGGTGCGTTTTGGGGGGGGATGCGGGGACGAGAGCTGCGATGCGGGGACGGCGGGAGGAGGAGATGATCCTTAGGGTCCCTTCCCACCCCAAACCATCCCACGATCACGATCCCGCTCCGCTCAACCAGAGCGCCCCCCCACTTCCTCCCTCCCTCCCTCCCGCTCCAAGCCCGCCCGGTTCCCCGCAAGAAACGGCGCGGGTTAACCCTCCTCCTCCCTCCCCGTTTTCCCTTTTCCCTCTCCTTTCCCGGTACCCACCTGTGCGGGGCGGCGCCCCCGGTGCCCGCGGTGCGGCGGGGCCGAGGGGGGGGTGCGGCGGTGGCGGCGGGAGGAGGAGGCGGCGGCGCCGCGGCGGGTGCGGGGGAGCAGCGCAGCGGAGGGCGGGCAGCGCCG